ATCTCAACAATTGTTTCAAGAAAATTCTCAACCAAAAGCACTTTTGCAGCTCGATTTCTTGGGTCCTACCACGGATCCTACCGGTAGGACGGCATGCAAGCTATCATTAAACAAGAGAGCTTGGAAGCTCAGAGCCCTACGCTCTGCTTTTTTTGCCTAGCTCATCGTGCATGTTATTAGAACTGGTGGAAATGTTTTTTTCCATTGATTGGCTATATCATTGTTTTGCAAAAAAACGTTTCAGTCAGTTTGAATATGAATTAGGCAAAAGTAATTGCAGAATTTATTGCGGATTGTTATTTTCTCTCATTTCATCCACTTTTGGTTTGCTCCTTCTTTTCCTTTTTATCTCCTTATAATCGGATTTTCTGGACCTGTTGAGCCAATGAGGTAAAATTATATTCCATACAATACGATACAATACAATAATACTTCGAAGTACAATTGTAGTATTGGCGCACCGTAGCGTAGGAGCACGTGACACTTTGCATGCATGACCTGTCATCTATAGAAACCTGTACGCCGGCCTGATAGACACGCTTTTTGCACACCACAGTCAATAGCCTGAATGCTTCACAGATTTTATTCTTCCTCCTGCCGCCACTCTGTCTGGTCCACACACATAATAATAGATATCACTTTTCCTACACTGTCTCCCTTGCTTTAGCAATTAGTTATGGATTCCGTTACACCGCTGGCGTCTCTTTCTCTTTCTTCATTCGCTACCTAAACATTACGTTTCCATTGTTTCTCTTCGATATTCTTGCCGCTAGTTCTCGCTGTCTTTTCCCGTAGTCTCGATCTTTCTGCCGCAAAGCCCGCTGTTCTCCGGCTAGCTATTCCGTACTCTACGCTGTCCATCTCGATCTAGCGATCCTTCTCCCTGCTCCGCTGCGCTGTTTTATCGATCTCCCCGATAGCTAACTTCCTCTATAAATTGCTAGTGTTCACAATCATTCTTTGCCTTTCCGTGATTCAGACCAAGAGAAGTACGTTCCCGAGAGTTAGGCTCTCTCGACCCCGAGTTCAACTGTGAAAGTCTGCGACTGTGTCGTAGCATTGATTGTGATCGTAGTTTAGAGAGAGAGACTTTGAGTGCATGAACTGTTGATATCGCCGATATCACACAATAATGTCCTTACCTTGATAGTGTGCTTGTGCTTTTAACTGTTGCTGACGGCCGAATGCATGGTTGCCTGTGGAGCACATTACATAACTTTACAGTCTCCTATAATACGCATCCTGTCCGACGGAAAAAGAGGCTGCAGATTTAGTTTTTCTGCACGTTATCAGCAATGACTACTGGTCTTCAGCAACTTGGGTCTCCTGTAATACGCATCCTGTCTGTGCTTTCGTAATGCTAACATAATGCTCGGGATAGCACTCGCTACTGATCTTCAGAAACTGGCCAGACTCTCACTCACAATAAGACTGTTGTAATGTTCATCGTTCCCAAGCGGTCGCTGGTTTCTCCCACGATTTCATTGTTCTGTTGTACGACATGCTATACGACATCCTTATCCCGTACAACACCGTATTGATGTCTGGCGCTGTCGCCTTCATCTCTGGTGCAGGTGTAATCTAGTGCCTTCATACATGCGTTATAATAGACCAATCCCTTTGTCTGGGTTCGTGAAAAGGGCCACGTGTGCAAGTCAGCTTGTGTTAAGTGCATGGTTTTGTATTTAGTTGGTATGTGGCAGCTTATGGGACAAAGAGACTTTTGCTCCCCGAGCTTGTGTATGTAAATAGTGTGTTACGTCGACCATGACGGCTCGCTTTGAATTGCAGAACGGCTGCCCCGATACGAACTCTAACTAAAACAAGAAAAATAATAATGGCTACAATTCCCAACCATACCACAATGAACTGATCGGCTACATCATTGTATTGCAAAAAGTTTCCATCTGTTCGAATAACATTCATGATGACCTAGGTAAAAAAAGCATAGCGTAGGGCCCTGAGCGAAAGAAATAAACTTTCTCTTTGTATTCGAGGGTAATACGACACCGTCTACCACCTTGATGACCTAGGCAAAAAAGCATAGGGATGTTTCATTTCTCCTATCTTTTTCCATACATAACCTAGGATTCAAACCCGCACTATCGCCCTGCATGCAATGCATTCCCCGATACACTTTGCATACATACTCATTCTTCCAAGTTGCTTCACGTTGCTATCTTGCATTTGAAAGCCCTATTTGAATATTATGGCCAGCTGTCTTTGATGGTATGGTACGGGGCAGGTACGGGATAGCACCAGGCATGCTGACGGCACAAACACACACCTTGATGGTACGGTACGGGACAGGTACGGGATAGCGCCAGGCATGCCGGTGGCACAAACAAACAAACAATCACAGAATTAAAGCTGTGTGGACCCTGGCTAGCGCCAGACGTCACTGAAGTAACGTCTTCTGCATAGCTACAGGAATAATTAATATTGGTTCAACATCCGACTTTTTATTTTAAAAATTATGCGGCAATTTTGGGGCAAATGGGAGAAGTGACTTGTCAATATACCGACAGATCAGCATACTCAGGATACATGATCAGCATGGTAGGACCAGGAGAGGGCGGGATCTATGACACTGTCAAGGTGTTTATGATGGGGCGCTACCATGGCTACAGAGATAGGGTGATCAGGATACTTTTAAAAAGCCTTATATATAATGAAGTGCCAAATGAGGAATCTGTCACGGTTAAAATAGAAAACACTGAAAAGAAAAGAAAAAGGACCAAGGAACTACAAGTTACGCTATAATGTCCACGGACACCACCAGTTACTAAACAATCAGCTTGTTAGACTTTATTATGTGTATGCATGCTGAAGATTGTGTTGGTGCTTCTCTCTGCTCAAGTACTAGTAACTGTATCTGGCTGGACTTGTCACTTTGTCTGCACTGGTGCCGCGACAGTCGATTCACGCGGCTTTGATTCATGCTGGCTGGCTCTTGTATAGTGTCGCCGTGCGACTACCCTGTGACCCTGATCTAACAATACTCATGCCAGTTGCACTACAAACAATCCACTCATGACATCTTGCTCTAAAAGGCGAGCTGCCTGCAAACTTGGATTCACACAAGAGCCATAAGAACACGAGGTCAATCTTGGTGATCATAAAAAGGAGAGACTGATTAGGAACGCGCATGCCTAATTTATACGGGCCAAGATCGCGCATGCCTAATATGCGCGCGTACCATACTGCGCATGCCTATAGCCATTCAGAATATGGAAGGAGCGCGGCAAGGTCAGAAAAAGCAGGCTCTAGCACTACAAATTTATGTCTAAGTGATATTTATGGAAATTACGATCGCGTTCGCGACATATAGTTCCGGTGTACCAGCGCTGCAGCTAGCTAGCTCGCCACCAGGCGACAAATTTCACACCAAGGTTCAACTCAAACGTTCAACTCGAGTGACAGAAACTCGCCCAAACATGCTGTAAGTTGTAGCCTGCAGGCACGGTGACCAGGTGACTGGTGTACGCACGGGCACGTGACAGCTTGTCCAGCCATGTTCGATTGGGAATAAGGGCCGAACGCTACATCGCAGCCTTTTCGGACCAAAACCAGTCGACTCAGCGTCCAAAAGACTACAACATATGGGCCAATCGCGGTCATTCGTGCTTTTTTAAGAACGACATGGCGCTGTAGTGAGATTTTGCATACAAATCCCCATCTCAGGCACAGTCACCCAGTTTCGGTGGAAGTGCGCGAGTTCGATTGGGAATAAAGAAGGAAGGGAGTGTCTCAGCTTCCTCGGACCAAGACCATTCGACTCAGCACCCCGAAGACTACAACTGGTGAAAAATTGATTTTAGGCTTAACTTCCCCTTTAAAACCGGGGGGGGGGGGGTGAAATCAACCCGGGGTGAAATTTCAACGCGGGTCAAGCGCAATGTGTCATGTAAACGCGCCAGTCAACCTGTGTTCATGGTGGGTTGCAACTTGACCCGGGTCGAACTCAACCCGGCTTGAAACCGCGGCCTCATGACGGTAAACACAGCCTGAGTCACTGTGTCGTGCCATTATCGCCGCCTGATGCATTGCTGCAAGAAATGAGAATGCACAAATTGAAAGCAACTACATGTACTGATCAACTAAACTAACTACAGTGTACTTACCAAGCATGAAGCACTGCAGGAGTCCAGCCGAGAGGCCGCTTCACCACCTTTAGCCTCAGGTCCCGGCATGTTCCTTGGATCGCAGACCGTGCCACCTGTGCGCTGCGGAACGCCGGGCTGTGAGGCCGGGAGGATGCTGCACTCAGTCATTGCTCTGTCACGGGAATCGTATCCATCTAGACACATTAGGAGAGAAAAATTAAAATAGCAACGGGTTGGCAGCAAGCCTCACTAAGCTGTCACCTCTTGACCGCAGATGGAGACAAAACATTAATTTTGTAAATCTGAACACTGACATACACGAATAAACCTACCTGTACCTTGCCCGAGACCGTGACTCCCAGGAGATTCACAGACTTTTTATACACGCATGACACCTGGCCTGCTGAGCTTGACCGTGAAGATTCTTAGCCCTTCTGTCTGTGACGTTCTGAGCCACGTGAGATCCTGCCATCGATCCAAATGATGCTCCAAAGAGGTCATCAAAATGGTCATTCATCATACAAGCGCTCATTTCCTGACTTGCAATCGGACAAAACAGTCGTTGTCTATCAGATACAGTTGCCCTGGCAGGCTACGGTTCGCAGCATGTGCCGCTATGATCATGATGATTCTGTGACTGTGAGCTGCTGGCTCGGCCGTAGGTCTACGACACCCAACTTGACTTGAAGTGGTCCTCTTGGAGCTCACCTAAAACGATGACACCCTTATCGCTCTCCCCCTGCGCTGTCATGTCAGTCTCTCCGAACAAGTTTCACTTGCAAACACCCTCGCTTGAGTCGGGCTTAGCTTGGGAGGACTCGGATCGGCCCATGCCGCTCCGATGCAGGATAGGTGACTTCCCATGCCGGTAAATCATTGTACATGTACTATAAAAATTATACATTGTAACTCGGAGCACGATCCAGACCGATCTTGAGTGGCAGAAGCTCCTCACCTCAGCATTCACGCTGCGAATACAGTCCGATCCGCCCCAACACGGCATCCAGTGTCAACGCCACAACATCTGATCGTAATCAGCGGAGCAGCAATGTTATTCATAGACTCCTTTGGCTGGATACTAAGCTATAGTATAGAACGAAGTCATGTACAAGTGACTTGAAGTAACGTTAGTTAGTTAGTTCACGGATGGCACTATGCTATGCTCCGACCACTCGGAGATGTTACTGAGCAACGGATTTTAGACGGTGCTCTGACCGATTTGGCGACCTCGGAGTCATGCTACAAGTAGCTCCTGTTTCAACTGTTCTCTTTCATTCTGCGTTGCATTTCATCGTGTCAGTGTCGCGTATCGAGGGCGGGAAAGTCGTGTGCAACGCAGCTGCAGGCACTGGGAACTTTGGTTATCATCACGCCGTCATGTCGGGAAATCAATCTCCCTGACCTGATCTTGTACAAGTCCACAGCTATCCGCGGTGGAATCCGAAATAATAATTACCCGCGCGCCATACAGGGTAGGCCTGTGACAACCTGGTTGTGGGCTTTCGGCGTTTGGAGGGCTTGCCTGCGGTGAAGGGCGCACAGCGCAGAGACCTGTGCGCAAGCTGGGCTGGCCCTACCGGTATACCACCTGGAGCATGAATGGGAATGGGTGGCAGGTGAAAATAGTCAGAGGCGCAGCGCGGTGAGCGGAGGAGGATGGACTCACTGACTGGCGACAGCGCGCGTCACCAGCGACCAACGGAAATGCCGGGACAAGTACAAATACAAGTCGCTGCAACTGGGCAGCTATTTCCTGTTCGTCACATTCTCTACGTCTTGCTGACGGCGTTCTTAGCTTCAGGTAAGTGTTGCACCAGTGCACGGCTTGCAAAATATCCTTATACTGATTTCCACAATCATCGGACATGACCCGAGGTGGCTAAGCTGCAGTATGGGAGCGAAACTGTGATGGGTACGCCAATACCGATCAGCTAAACTCATGCTTTCCCGTGCGAGTGGTGGACCATCATCATGGTGAAGTTGGCACTGAACAGAGCAGATCTGCAAAGCCATGAGCCGTGTTGTATGCTGCTAGTATCGCGCAGAGATAGCAGTTAGCACACTCACAACTGTCTTTGTGACCAGTGGCAAGAAGAGAGTGTCTCACACTCCAAATGCAGGTCAGTGATAAATCATCGACCATTCAAAACTTACCTCTGAAAACCAAACTCATAGCCGCAGAGAAACTCAGTGAGGCATACTAGTAGTAGTAGTAGTAGTAGTAGTGCTTGAATGGGTGCTAAGTTGAAATGGATGGAGGCGACTGTGATGGTGAGTAAGATTTTTTTACAAGATAACCACAAACCATCATGATGCAAACGCCGGCAAAAACGCACAGAGATGCACATAGCAATGGCAGCCGAAGCAGTGGAGGCGGGGCAGTCATGTTCCGCACTAACATTACGATGTCTGTGATGAGATTACCCAAACACACTGTATAGACAAAGTGGATAGGATTGTGTCAGTGGCTGTGCTGCTACATTTGTGGACTTGGAGGAAGTCCAACTTTACTTGCCTGGTTGTGTGAATGCAGTACGCCAGCAGGAAGTGCTGGTACATGTACTTGCACTAAGGTCATCACATCCAGTGTTATGTAGCCCCTGGCATGAAGCCTCTCAGATGGGTACTACTGGTTGCCGCTGCGGTTTGATGCATTCAACTTGAACAGTTCCCTTCTGGAGAGGGTAGCTCAGAATTTCCTACTTGACTTGCGTGATAGGTGGGGCCTTACCAGGCTGCGTAGTCAAGGGAATATGGCCGTGTTTTCTTTGCCCTGTGGATACAAGATACACAGCCAGATTACGTGCAGGTATCTGAGTTCCATTTTAGTATTACAAACACTACACGCCCTGCCCATAGCTAGGCCAGTGGGCCTAGAGAACCGGACTGACCATCTGATTCTAGTTCCATAGCAGCCCCAAGGATGTTTCACCTCAGTTTGTCATATGACTGTATTGCTTTATTGGCATTCCGATTCTTTCGCCCGTGCAGCCCAAGGTATTGAAGAGGATCGGAATCAGCGCATACCAGGTGATCGTCAGTACTCGGAACATGATGCCGAAGGGACGCACATACTAGGACTGGATGACCTACATGCATGGTCTACGTGGAGCTCGTGGGCGGCATGTCAGCAGGTTTGCGGTGGCTACACTCGACGCAGTCGCGAGTGCGACAGTGTCTGGGCGCCGGCCTCGGAATCGCCGCACGGCAGCACATGCCAGGGCCCCAAGACCGAGTACAAGCCTTGTCGTGCCTGCACCAGTAAGTCAACATAAAAGTCAACTTTGGGTGCTGATACACGTTAGCAGTGTTGCATGATCTGTGTGTACTAGCATCTTCTTTCATGTACTAGTTTTGTAGTGGGCATGTTTCTGGAAAGTATTTAAAAAGCCAGGCGGATGAGTGTTGGCCAGGGACCCGTGTTGCTTCCCATTGCTGCATCGTCTCCTATGAGACGATGCAGCAATGGGAAACAAGCAGGCACCCTGGCCAACATATTATGTATGCGCTGAAAGCCTTTGGGTCGTCCCTGGTTTCTGCTGAATGTTATAGGCCACACATGGTTGCGTGCCACTCCGCCTGTCAACCTGACATGATTGCATACCTGTACGTGTAATTGTATCTGCTGTGGAAGCTGTGGACGTCAGTTTACTTCAACACGATTATACTTATAACCAGGGAGTAGTAAAATACTTACTCCCCGCTTATAACAGGAGACACGCGCATCATGTTGCATGGGAATGCTGAAGTAAAAATAGGTACTTGGTCGAAGACAGTCACGATGCAATACACCAGCACTGTCAGCCTATCATACAACCCTGAATGGTGCATTAGCGGTTACACTCAGCCTGCAGCCGGGTACCGGTGAAGTCTCTGGAAAGCAATGTACGAGTACTACAGTTGCGCTCACTGAAATCCGACCAAAAGTGCAAAGCTGACGCCCTGGACCAGTTCCGATTACATCACTGTTGTACTGATGCGTACATGTGTACGTCCAGCTGCATTCATTCCACTTCCAGGGCGTCAAGGGCCGTGGAAGTTGAGGGCGCCAGCTTTACACGTTGGGTCGGATTTCAGTGAGCACAACTGTATAATACAGTTGAAGGTGCACGCATACATCACCGGGTTAATTATGCCCATCATAGGGACCGTGAGATCCTGGATCCCCAGTAAAGAAAAACAACCCCGAAAGGGTGCCCCTCCCCCCTCCCACCGCAATAGCACGGACAAGGATTACAGATTTGCAAATTGGGCCATAGGACCATACCGCCAGGACCGACTAAAAACATTTCAACTTTCAACATCTGCATGCCTGATGGACTAAATGCAATGTTTGCATGCACTGTGGCATGGTAATCAGTGAGTATGGGTGGCAACCTATCTTGGTCTGGACAAGTGCTTTGCAAACTGAAATTTGAATACGGTACTCATCCTGGGCATTGTGCAGTGTGCACTAATGATGGCACTTTGAAGTAATCTGAGTTGGTGGAACAAAAGGAGGCTGTTGACACCTATTTCAATGGCATGCACTGAGGATGTTTTGACAGCTGTGCATCAGTGCGTAGAGAGACTGATCCTTCAACTCAGTGGGACGTGTTACACCTGTTTGCTGACCAATGCACGGCCCAGCGCTGTTGCTATGGACAGTTCATCTAATCATATTATTATCAGCTCTGAAAGACCATACTTACCTGCCTATTATTTGGAGCTCATTCTCAGTTATCGTCAATGGGTCTTTGTTTGGCTGGGCTGCACAGTGGGAGAGGCACTGACACTATCTACACTGAGTCTGTTATAACCCGTTGAGCCGGTCAAGGCTTGCCCAATTGCAAAGTACTTTGGCATGATTTGGAGGAGTCCTTTGTCCCAGAAGACTTAGATCTACATGTAATTATGTATACACAAATGAATATCAGCAGCGTTGATGGAAACAAGGAACAAAATCTTCTTGTTGAATGCCGTGTGTGTGTGTGTGTGTGCGTGCGTGCGTGCGTGCGTGTGTGTGTGGTGCAATCCCAGCACAAGCTGCTATGGCGTCTGCTGTAGCATTGCTATCATCGCCTCTGGCGATGGGCGTCAAAAGGTCAAATGTGTGTGTGTGTGTGTGTGTGTGTGTGTGTGTGTGTGTGTGTGTGTGTGCGTGTGTGTGTGTGTGTGTGTGTGTGTGTGTGTGTGTGTGTGTGTGTGTGTGTGTGTGTGTGTGCGCGCGTGTGCCCACTGCCACGATTGGCTATGTGTCCCCCCCTCCGTTTGGGGGCACATAGCCAATCGTGGCAGTGGGTGAAGGAAGGAAGGAAGGTGTGTGTGTGTGTGGTGAAAATATTCTGGATGTCCTGTTTTACTACTTCCAGCTGTGGGCTCAGTTTAGTTAGTTTTATAGTATGCTTGATTGGAAGTATGTGAGTGTACAGTGTAAGCTCAGCCTCAGCCTCAGTGGGACAGGGGGTAACCGGTTCTAACTGGAGTAGGCTGCATGATCTGGGTTAGGAAACTGTGAGATCTCAAATCTGTGAAGAGTGTCTAAGTGGGCCGACATACACTTGAATTTGTGAGAAGTCATTCTATGCATGAAGTATGATGTGTACTGACATGCTCTGCATGTCCATGATTTTAGCTGTGCAGTGGCAATGTGATAATCATCTGGGGATGTCACGTCTGTCCCTCCATCTGGTGGTGTATCACTCAGTGAGAATCAATATGCCCCCCCCCCTTGCACGGGGGGGGGGGGGAGGGTCAAGGGACATCCTGATTCTCACTGAATAACCATGATAAAACACTGGATGGAATCAGGGACGTGACATCCATTATTTTGGGACATTCAGTTTCGCTCCCCACCCCCTCCCATGGAGTGCTCTGTGCCAGGCTCCTTCTGTGGCACCTTACATAGGCTACAAATTCATTACAAATTGTAGCGCACACACCCACACTTCTTCGCTACACACAATTCTTCCAAATTCTTCCAAAATATTTCCGGCCCAGGAGGGCATCATCATTCAGGGAAGACATTCCCTTTCTCTGATGATGGCCTCCGGGGCAAAAAATTCGGAATTTTTTTTAAAAGACTGATCATGTGTAGCCCGGCCGGCAGGGCTGGAGTGTGGGTGTGCGTGCTGTAATATGCTATGGCAGGGCTATAGTAGTGTTACACTTTACTTTTTTTATACTTTTATGACAGTACAAGCCAAGTTTTACGGGCAACCATTAATTAATTAACACAATGGATAAAAATGCAATACAACATCACATACACTGGAGAAAAAAATCAGGAAAATACATGTGTAAAATAAAGATGCACTTTACTTCTCTTCAGCTTAGGAGCTGCATGTGCGCCTTGGTCCAAGAGGGTGGTGGCGTTCCTGCGGATGCGGAAAACTGGGCCGCTTTGGCCGAGTCTCACGCGAACCGTGAAATTTTTTATTTTTTATATTTTTTTTTACTTCTTTAAAACCGTAAATAACAGTTAGTCATACAATGTTAATAGTCCGAGAAACCAACTCCTGAAAAGCTATCATCGCACGGCAAGACTATGGTTTTCGCCTCTACAGGCCGTGTGATACTGTTATCATTGGGAGATTTCAAAGTACAGTGAAACCTGTCAACGGCGATCGACCAGGGGACCTTCAAAATGTGATCGCTGTGAACAGGTGGTGGTCTCATCCAGTGTCACTGATTCGACTTGCTGATGTGGAATAACACTCATTGGCCCTAATTGTAGCGGGCCTCTGGGACAGAGTCGTCCTTCCGAGTGGCCGCCTTGACAAGATCTATTATACATGTTGCTGTCTTCAAATCTTTCCTCTCCGGCTGCAGCTGACTGGTCTGCGTGCAGCAGCTCCTGTGGCAGTGGTGTGCGCCAGCGCATGCTTGACGGTAACAACGTCACCGAGCACTGCACAGAACAGCCGTGTCCGTGTAAGTAGAGCATCTCATCACGCGTGATACCGTGTGATGCCTTGGAGCAGTCTAGTCCCACCAAAATGTGCATGTGTCAGTCTTAGTTGTTCTTCTTTTTTAATCAGGAGACGACACACTTGCGCACAGCCCACATAAGTTAGGGGGAGGTTGGGAGGGGTGTGGGGGGGGGGGGGGGAGGCTCGGCACAAGACAAGAAACAAGGGGCTGCAGGGCGACAATGGACTCTTTCCAGACTATGATAAAGAACAAAAACATGAATGTGGAAAATATAATGCGTGCCCCCCCCCCACACACACACTTGTACTTGCTCTTAGCAACGTGCTGCCTCTCGCAGTTTGCCATCATAGCTGAGGTCACAGTACAGTCATCTTGTATACATCGCAGTCCAGACAGTACGGTATGCTTTATCTTGGTCCTGCCTCAACTAAATGCAAGGCGCTCCTTTGCTTTAGGATGCGCAAGCTCCACTGCAGCCACTTCATATCATTGGTAAACCCTACGTGACCATCACAAGCGCACGTGGTCTCTTCGTCACAAACCTATACAATTTCAATCATTAAAACAGATAGGTTCCAGGCTGTCCAATAGAGGGCTAGTTCCAACAATTTGTTGCAATTTCAATCATTGAAAAAAGTGTAGAGGTTTGCAGCAAAGAGACTACTTGCGTTTGTGTATAGTTTTTCAACTTTTTCAATGTTGTTCCTTTGTTGTTTCGTACGTAATGCAAATGTTTGTTTTGCATGGCTACAGATTGGCGTCCATGGAGCAAGTGGAGCTGGTGCACGGCAACGTGTGGCGTATCGGTGCGTCATCGCACTCGTAGCTGCTCCGAGCCTGGCCGCTGCCGGGGCGACACCTTCCACATCGAGCAGTGCAGGAGACCGGCGTGCGCGGACCGCGATGGCGTGCAGCAGTTTTCCCCCTGGTCAGAATGGTCAGCCTGCACGGCGAATGCCTCGCTCGCCGCAGGGTTTTCATTCCGATCTCGCCAATGCCAGGTGTTAGCAAGCGGTTGCATCGGCAAGCGAGTCGAGTACAAACGCTGCTATTGGCCGCACGAATGGACAGCCTGGTCAGAGTGTAGCGTGTCCTGTGGAGGCGGGCAGCGGCATCGCACTCTGATCTGCTTTGATTTGCTGTCCGTCGGTCCGTGCCCGGAGCAGGATAAGGTGGAAACAGAGACGTGCAACTTGCACGCATGCCCCGTGCACGGCGGATGGAGTGCGTGGAGTAACTGGACAGGCTGCTCCGTGTCATGCGGCTCTGTAGGATTTCAGGAGCGACGGCGTGCCTGCAATAGTCCCGAGCCTGACGCGCTCGGCAATGACTGCTCAGGACAAAGCAATGAGCTACGCCTGTGCCGTCCACCGGAGTGCCCAATCGACGGCGGTTTTAGCAACTGGACTGAGCCTACCCCGTGCACGCAGTCCTGTGGAACGGGACTTCAAGTACAGCTACGCACCTGTACTAACCCCATGCCACAGCATGGTGGATTGGAGTGTGAGGGCTCACTGGCACGCATTCTGCCATGCAACACACATCACTGTCCGGTTGCGGGTGGATTCGGACCGTGGACGCACTGGGCCAGCTGTTCTGCTACATGCGGCGGCGGAGTGCAGTATCGTCGACGCGACTGCGACAGTCCTGCACCGCTGCACGGCGGTGAGAACTGCCAGGGTGAATTCAACCAGTCGCAGCCATGCGGTCACGCTCCGTGCCCAATCGACGGCGTGTATGGCAACTGGTCTGCGGTGAGCACATGCAATGCTCCCTGTGGTAATGGTACGTCGTATCGCAACCGGTCATGTGACAGCCCAAGTCCACAGTATGGTGGTAAAGGCTGTGTTGGCCCGGCAGTAGAGGTCTTTGATTGCTTTCTGCGGCATTGTCCGATTGATGGTGGCTTCGGTAACTGGAGCAAGTGGTCGGTGTGTTCAGAAGATTGTGGTCCTGGAGTAGAAAACAGAACTCGTGAGTGTGACAATCCTATTCCTCAGTATGGAGGTCTACCGTGTCTGGGCCACACGATGCAAAGTCAGTCATGTGAAGTAAAGCCATGCCCGATTGATGGTCGATGGAGTGTATGGAGTAACTGGACTAATTGCTCGCAGTGGTGTGGTACCGGATATCAAGAACGATTTCGAGCTTGCAATAATCCTGCTCCACAATTCGGAGGAAAGCCTTGCTCAGGACTCAACATTGATAACCAAACATGCTTTCTTCGGCATTGTCCAATTGACGGTGGCTTTGGCAATTGGAGCAAGTGGTCAGTGTGTTCAAAAGATTGTGGTCCTGGCATAGAAAACAGAACTCGTGAGTGTGACACTCCTATCCCTCAGTATGGAGGTCTTTCATGTTTGGGCCACACGATGCAAAGTCAACCATGTGAAGTTAAGCCCTGTCCAATTGATGGTCAGTGGAGTGTATGGAGTAGCTGGACTAACTGCTCGCAGTGGTGTGGTACCGGATACCAAGAAAGATTTCGAGCTTGCAATAATCCTGCTCCACAATTTGGAGGACAGCCTTGCCCAGGACTCAACATTGATAACCAAACATGCTTTCTTCGGCATTGTCCAATTGACGGTGGCTTTGGTAATTGGAGCAAGTGGTCTGTGTGTTCAGAAGATTGTGGTCCTGGCATAGAAAACAGAACTCGTGAGTGTGACACTCCTATTCCTCAGTATGGAGGTCTTCCATGTTTGGGCCACACAATGCAAAGTCAACCATGTGAAGTTAAGCCCTGTCCAATTGATGGTCAGTGGAATGTGTGGAGTGACTGGACAAATTGCTCAGAGTGGTGTGGTACCGGATATCAAGAACGATTTCGAGCTTGTGATAGTCCTGTTCCACAATTCGGAGGACAGCCTTGTCCAGGACTCAACATTGATAACCGAACTTGCATTTTAAGGCTGTGCCCCATCGATGGTGGATTTGGAGAATGGAGTCCATGGTCTTCCTGCTCTGAACAGTGTGGTTCTGGAGTAGAAAACAGAACTCGTGAGTGTGACAATCCAATTCCTCAGTATGGAGGTCTACCGTGTCTGGGCCACACGATGCAAAGTCAGTCATGTGAAGTAAGGCCATGCCCGATTGATGGTCGATGGAGTGTGTGGAGTAACTGGACTAATTGCTCGCAATGGTGTGGTACCGGATATCAAGAACGATTTCGAGCTTGTGATAATCCTGCTCCACAATTCGGAGGACAGTCTTGTCCAGGGCTCAACATTGATAACCAAACTTGCATTTTAAGGCCATGCCCCATCGATGGTGGATTCGGAGAATGGAGTCCATGGTCTTCCTGCTCTGAACAGTGTGGTCCTGGTATTGAGACCAGAACTAGAAGATGTAATAGCCCTCCACCTAAGCATGATGGTAAGCCATGTGAAGGCCATCGCACTGATAGCCAGTCCTGTCAAATCGTGCCTTGCCCAGTTGATGGACAGTGGAGCCTGTGGAGCAAGTGGACCAACTGCTCACGGTGGTGCGGCACTGGATTTCAGGAGAGGTTCAGAGATTGCGATTCGCCGCCGCCTCAGTTTGGTGGCGAGATTTGTCCTGGGCCTAGTGTGGACAATCAGACTTGCCTTCTGCGGCACTGTCCCGTTGATGGTGTCTTTGGGGAGTGGAGCATCTGGTCGGTGTGCTCAAAGGAGTGTGGGCCTGGTGTTCGAAACAGAACTCGCAGCTGCGATAATCCACAGCCCCAGCATGACGGGAAGCCATGTTCAGGTGAAAACGCTGAAAATGAATCCTGCGAAATAGTGCCATGTCCGATTGACGGTGCCTGGGCAGCATGGAGTGAATGGGCAAATTGTTCTCAATGGTGTGGCACTGGCTTCCAAGAGAGATTCAGAAATTGCAATTCACCAGCACCTCAGTTCGGTGGGAGGACATGCGCGGGCTCAAGTGTTGACAGTCAAACCTGCTTTCTGCGCCACTGTCCCATCGATGGAGGTTTCGGAAATTGGAGCATGTGGTCGCAGTGCTCAGAGGAGTGCGGGCCAGGCACACAGGACAGGATGCGTGAGTGCAATGCACCTGTGCCGCAATATGACGGAGCATCGTGCTCCGGCAATCACATGCAAACTCAGGGATGTCAGGACCGGCCCTGCCCCATTGACGGCCAATGGGCTGCATGGAGTGGCTGGACAAACTGCTCCGAGTGGTGCGGCGTTGGACTTCAGGATCGATACCGAGAATGCGATGCGCCGCCTCCACAACACAGCGGCTTGCCTTGTTCTGGTGCGGGGTCGGCAAACCGGTCCTGCTACGTGCGCCCTTGCCCGATTGATGGCCACTTTGGCAGCTGGGGAAGGTGGCTACCTTGCTCGACAACATGCGGCAGTGGCCTGCGAGAGCGGCATCGGCACTGTAACAGTCCTGAACCTCAGTTTGGCGGCAAACCCTGCACTGGATCGCCTATCAGCAGACAGAGCTGCGACCAAGGGCCGTGCCCGATCAACGGGAACTTCAGCGAGTGGATGCCGTGGTCTCAATGCTCCGCGTCGTGCTCAGCGGGTGTTCGAACGAGGCGGCGACTGTGCGACAATCCAGCTCCGCAGTTCAACGGCTGGCACTGTCAAGGAATAGACCGGCAGCAGGAAGGCTGCACAGTGGTAGAGCACTGTCCTGTTGACGGGCGCTTTGGAGACTGGACGGCATGGGAAGCGTGCTCTGTGAGCTGCGAGCAAGGCCAAACCCATCGCCGACGCGAGTGCAATGCACCGAGGCCCAGCCACGGGGGATTGAGCTGTTCGGGCGCGTCCACGCAGACACGCACCTGCTACCAAGGATACTGTCCAATCGACGGTGTGTTTGGCAGCTGGAGCGATTGGTCAGTGTGCTCAAGAACCTGTGGAGGCGGTATGCAAGCTCGCAGTCGCCTGTGTGATTCACCGCCACCATTATTCGGCGGGAAGGAATGCACGGGAGAAAATTTTGAGAGGCAGGACTGCAACCAGCAGCCCTGCCCTATCGATGGGGAATTCGCCGAGTGGACAATGTGGTCTCCATGCTCCGCCACCTGCAATACGGGACAGCGCAATCGTCAGCGAAGCTGCACAAATCCACGTCCCCAGCACAACGGTCGTTTCTGCATCGGCATGGCTCGTCACTCGGAGGCTTGCTTTATACGGGTGTGCCCCATTGACGGGAAGTTTGGTAACTGGATGGATTGGGGTGCATGTCAAGGCATGTGCGGTAAGGGAAACTGGACACGGCGACGTTTGTGTGACAACCCGGAGCCTATGTTCGGCGGAGCCGACTGTCAGGGAGAGTCACACGAGACACAGGAATGCAACCTTACGACACTGTGCCCCGTTGACGGCATGTGGAGTGATTGGGGCGGGTGGAACCACTGTTCCAAGTCATGTGGAACAGGAGAGCAGCGACGTGTCAGAGCGTGCAACAACCCAGTGCCAGAACATGGCGGACAGCGGTGTGCTGGTAGACTGGCACAGACACGCGCTTGCTTTCAGCAGAACTGTCCGGTTGACGGTAACTGGACTCGATGGTCCGAATGGTCTGACTGCTCGAGAACGTGCGATGGTGGTGTTCGGGCACGCAGTCGCTCCTGCACCCAACCAGAGCCGCTCTACGGCGGGAACCAATGCGATGGAGATGCAGCTGAGCTCGAGCAGTGCCAGCAATCCCCTTGTCCGGTCGACGGGGAGTATACCGAGTGGAGCACGTGGACTGAGTGTACAAAGTCGTGCGGTGGAGGGGAGCGAATGCGCTCGCGGGCGTGCACTGACCCTGAGCCTCAACATGGTGGCCAGGGCTGCGATCGTCTCGGTGCAAATGCTGAACAACAGCCGTGTAACGTAGACTCCTGTCCAGGTAAGATTCAGCATGACAATGTGTGAGAGATGTACTGTTTTTTTTCAGAGCATAGATCGCACTTTAAAAGCACCAGTAATTCACCCGGTGGTCAAATTAATGGCGATAAACAGGGTGGATGTCTGTATTCCGTGACCAAAAATCTGGGTGCGGCTTATACTCCGGAAAATACGGTTTACGTAGCAATAATATTCATGGATGCATTCTCGCTCGGACCGGCATGTCCATTCTTGTAGTGGATTCCACCGATACAAGTGGTTTGGTTGAATCGCACACTCTACTGTGTCTAGACTAGCATGTACATGGGCCATGACCTGAGGGAGTAGTAAGATACTGGTATATTACTACTCCATGACCTAAGGGAGTAGTAATATACTGGTATATTACTACTCCATGTCTCAAATCGTGCTGCAGTCAAGCTCATACGGGAGAGTGTAGCATGCCGTCGCTTACACTTTAAACTAAGCTTGTCAGTGCACAGCAAGAGCGGAGGGGCATCTTGCTAGCACACAAACACGCAAGCAGAAGAACTCATATACACAATTAGCTCTTCAAAATTGCACTGCGATGCACATCCAAGGGATGTGCGAACATAATGCCTTTCAGCTCAGGTAACCGTTGAATTTTTTTATTGGATGGTCCACCTTGCTCTATAATTATTGGATGGTCCACCTTGCTCTGTGGATGGTCCACTGACTAGAAGCTATCATTCAGGGGGCTGAAAAAGTACTGTTTTTCTCATGCACAGACAACATTATGTGTGTACTAAGTGTTGCATTCGACAAATGCAACAGCATTGACGCCCCACCCACACACATACACTCTCTCTCTCTCTCTCTGAATCAGACTAGAACAGAGTAAGCATGTGAATAGTGCACGAGAGGGGTAGCAGTATTGCGGGCACATAAACTATGAATATGCATCTATATATAACATGTGAAAGAGGAAGTGGAATCCGGCATATCACAGATTGCACTACTCAAACATTAGGCCACACGTTTTTATTTCTATGTTTCTCGTCACCCGCGCGCATACGATTCAGGAGTCTGGAAGAAAAAAAAAGAAAAAAACTGTGCTGCACTGACTGTGCATGTGCGGACCAGCACACTCATGCACATGTACATAATGTGGCCTGGCCTGCGCGACACATGATGCAAGGACGGCATTTTTTGTGCGCAATCTAGCTGCACATGCACAGATTTGTGACAGAAGCTCCTACCACAAACTAGTTGCTAACTATGGATGCTATTTTGTATGGTGTATTGGTGGATTTTAGTGTGAACAAAGGTCTAATAAACTTTTTTTATTTTTCGCTCATTTTTTATTTTTTTCCACCTCTCGCATTCGTTTTTAGATTTCCAGGTGACGAGAAACATAGAAATAAAAACGTGTGGCCTTATAGGTCTGAGAACTAGTAGGTACCTTGTCACACTGTGTGTGTGTGTGTATGTGTGTGTGTGTGTATGTGTGTGTGTGTGTGTGTATGTGTGTGTGTGTGTGTGTATGTGTGTGTGTGTGTGTGTATGTGTGTGTGTGTGTGTGTATGTGTGTGTGTGTGTATGTGTGTATGTGTGTGTGTGTATGTGTGTGTGTGTATGTGTATGTGTATGTGTGTGTGTGTGTGTATGTGTGTATGTGTGTGTGTATGTGTGTGTGTGTGTGTGTGTGTGTGTGTGTGTGTGTGTGTGTGTGTGTGTGTGGGGGGGGGGGGGGGTTCGTCTATGTGCAGTTGATGGAGTGTGGGAGCCATGGAGCGCGTGGACAGATTGTCCGGTTACGTGTGGTGGTGGCATTCAAACCCGAAACCGCTCCTGTGTGCCACCACTCCACAATGGCAAGCCGTGCACCGGAAACATCAGAGAAGTGAAGACATGCGCAAGCATGCAGTGTCCAAGTAAGCTCCTATACACATCTTGGGGAACAGCCTTGCAGGGGAGTTATAATATTATGAGTTTGGCAAGCAAGGTTACTGGTGTGAAGCATGGTGTTGTTCTATATGACCTATGTGGGTATATACCGATATACACATTAGTGTGCAGACCGGGCATGCTGTCCATGTGTCAAGGTCTATCTGGTGCCAGCAGTGCAATCATGTTCCTGGCTATACATCACGCTGCCATTGGGCTTCCTCTGAATGGCGTGCCAAACCATCTCTCGCGGGTCTTTCCTTGTCTCTCTATTCAGATGGGTGTGAATTGATCAGCTGCTACCCTGGTGTGAAATGTACAACTATACCAGGCTTGGCTCACATTGGAATCTGCGGAGATTGTCCAGTGGGGTACGAGGGAGACGGACTCAACTGCATCAACATCAATGAGGTGTGAGATGTACATAGCTGTTGCCTTTTAACTTTGACGCTGGGAACGCATCAATCAGAAATGAGAAATTGGCGTTCCTCAAGTTTTTCCCATGCCACACTCCTTGCTCAAGTTGGGTCAAGTTTTCATCAAGTACATGTACTCGTACTATTGCCAGTACTTCAGTATTCTGTATGTGACTATTGCCGGTTGTAATCAAGATTCTGCGAATAAGTTTTAAAAGATATTTATACTTGGTTAGAAGTATGTACATCTTACCAATTACTTCCTATTGCTAAGCATGCGTAAGGGAGTAAGGAGGAAGTTTTCATGTGAAAAGGCTGACGGTGTCCGTATATCCACTGACTGCAGTACTGTTCTTTGCATGCATGGTGCTTGTGCATCAAACCCTGCAGTGTGAGGAAGCCCAACCCTGCGCTGATGACACGCTATGTCAGGACACAGACGGTGGGTTCCGGTGCTTACCTTGTACCAGTCTTGGACTGTACGTCGGAGAGAGTCGTGTTGGCAGTGGGCTCGCAGATGCACGCAACCCCAGCAGCAAGCAGATCTGCACAGATGTGGATGAATGTGAGAGTGGCATTCATGACTGCTATGCTCTCTGTGAAAATACACCAGTAAGTGACACAATGATGTTAGCTCCTCTGGCTAAACAGTCTCCTTACGACTCGTAGAAGACAGTTTTTTTTTTTCGTTTGACAAGAACCACTGGAGCATGCGCTCTTCTATACCTGATGGATTCGATTACTAGTTTTTTTTATTGTATTAATTTTGTATTTGTTACAAAGACCACCTAAATGCCAAACACCTGTGACAGTGACAT